AATATTTGAGTGTTTTAAAGACAGAAGAATGATGTGGTTTTGCATGCGAGGCTCTCAAACTTGTTTAATAAAATGGTGCGTCAAATGACAATTTTAACAGAATTTGTTAATTTGCATATTTCTTTGAAATAAACGGATATTTTGCCAAAAAAACTATCCAGTAGTTTTTGACATGCCCTAGCCTATCTACCGTAGAAATATGAGCGAAATCGAATTTTCGACCCTTGCCGAGTTATTTTCTATATTTATGGACAGGGACTCTTAAGGATTTTTAAGTAATGTTAAGGGTTTATAGGTAGTTAATATTTTCTTAAACATTGTAATGGGCAACTGAAAATGTTATATTGATATCTGTGAAATATAAGTGAATTATTGTTATTATTATTATTATTATTATTATTATTATTATTATTATTATTATTATTTCATGATGATTTGAATATTGCAAAAATTAGAAGATTTTGTGTGGAAGCAAGAAAGCTTCACTCCAGAAACTTTTCCATTATTTATTAATAATAATTTACAAAAGGAAGCTGCTAGCATATATTTATTGGAGGTAGAAAGACGGATAAAATATGAAGAAGAATGGAAAATTCTAGTCACTAAACCAAAAGGCAAAGACTTAATAGCAGTTTGAAAACTTGCAAAATTACAAGGATTTGTATGGAAAACAACTGGAGCATGACTGAACATGTGTTCTTGAAAAGCACGTCACCTGACCAATTTATTGCTGCAAAAGACCTATCATCAAGAGCTAACCACTGCCAAGTCAGTGATATTTAGGTTAACCTGAGTGCTATTTGGATTAACTGGGCTTCTAATTAGGCTAATGGTGGTGCCATTTCATCATTTCACTCTTTTGTTTTTTAAACACACCCAGTTTATCACATTCTCGCACTAAACAGGTGATGGAGCTTTTTTTAAACAATATGTTCTTTGTCTTTCACTATTCAATAACCAAACAATGTGAGCATGAAAAGGGGCAATAAGCAAATAACAGTATGGTCATTGTGATTTAACAAGCATTCTTACAACCCAGTTCGTTTTAACAGCTGTGATCTTTAAGAGTTAAGTTGTTATCATAAAGTAAGTACATTTGCCATTGGGTGGGGAGGACATTGGGCTTAACTGCAAATAGGTGATGTCTGCTGTACCTGTCACTTAGTATGTAATGCAGATGGGTTAAGCAAGATTGGGTTCGGCTATTTCAATATTATGTCAGAACTTTGCACTATCCTTGTATTGAATCTGTGTGTTCTTTTTTCTGTTATTGTTGACAGTTCATATTAATGCCAGGTCCAGCTGAGGAATTGCCAGTTAAAGTCCCACCACTTGTGGCAGCAATAAGGAGTAATCGATATGTACATGTTAAAGAGCTTTACATTTGGGACATACCCATGAAACATGAGGATATGGCTACACTGGTTTGTAATGTTTAAATATATTGTTTGTGAATTGAATCAGGTTTTAAAGTTTATTTGTTTTTCTTAGTTCACTTAAACTTCTCACATTCCAGAAAGTACATGGGAGTTACATGCAGCTGCATCCATGTCAAACATTAAGTAATATAAGAATGCATTCCTTATATGCCCAGTATATTTTTAATCAGTAAAAATAGAAATTGAAAAAAAAGAAGAGGGCGCCTCCTTTATTTTTACTATACATTGTAATCTACAATGCACTGATTACAATATACCGTAAACTTCCGAAAGTAACGACCCCCCAGAAGTAACGTCAAAAAATTGTGGCCACTAATAAATCCCTGAAAGTACATGTAGCGAGCCCTTCAAAAGTAGCAAGCCCACCCCCAGCAACCCCCTCCACAAAAATAGTGAGACCCACATTCAATAGAATATTTATTTTTCCAATCAATAGGGAAGATATTTATTTACAAACATTGTTTTTGTTATTTAAATGTTCAAAACGTTAAACAAAAGAATTCTTTGTTTCATCAGCCAATAGTTCTTTGGTTGGCATATTAATAACAATAGGTGACATCACTGATATCTTTGCTATAGTCATGCGAAAGTAACTTCTGGTAACTCGATTTAAGGGAGTCTACAACAAAAGAAGGTAATCGTTTATACCACGAAGCATTGTTTAATGTCAATTTGTGATTCATCAGTTCATGTTGTGGCGTGTTAAAACAAAAACTGTAGACTTTTCATCAAGTAACAGGAATGTACTAACAGGAACTTTTCTTTAAATTAAAATTCACAACTCTGTATCATTTTCAACTGGAGCGTATAAAAAGGAACGTTTCTTCAGATTTAAATTGAAAACTTGACCAATGCAGTGAGATATTGTTACAGCAGACTATTGTAGCAGTACGTCATGGAGTAGAAACTGTTTACGGTATCTGACTAGCTTTCCATGTTGACCACTGACAACATGGTCTAGACATGAAGAGCTCACCCATGTGGAATAATTTGAAACAAAGAATTTAATTTGATGTTTTATGACCTGTTTTTATGAATTTCCGTCTTTAATTTTGTAAAAAAAGAGCTCAGTTGTACCAACTTTATATAACGTTTTTGTGCTCCTGGAAAGTAACGATCCCCCAAAAATAACGAGTCCCAAAGGCTGCTAATTCTGAAAGTAATGTGGGTCAGTATTTTCGGAAGTTTATGGTAAATTATTATTATGATATTATATTTTTATTTAGCCAATTTAAGTTACCATTGCCATTATTGAGAGCAAACCATAAACAGACTAACCTGAGTACTACTCAGGTTATTTAGCATACAAATTTTCACTCTGATCAGCAGGGCCTGATACTAACAGTAGCCAACTAGCCATAGACTAGTAAAAATTTAGTTTTGGCTGGTAGGTTTTTGACTTCCACTTTAACTAGAAAACAAAATGAAATTGGCTGAGCTAGTTTCTCTCTTCCTCAGGGAAGACAAACACAAACACTTTTCTCAGAAACAAGGTCAGAATTTCATTGTGGACGTACCATGTTACCAGGCATGTGCTGTCCAGCACATATGCAAATTTAAGTTTGTCTACTTTTTGCTGTGTGGTACACTGTATGTAAACGGGTAACTGAACATGTTGTTATGCTGAAAGAAATATTTGACAAACAAGACAGCCTTTTCTGAAAGCACCCATCAATGTCCTTTTTTGTTATGAAATTAGTAGTACAAAATATGAGCAAAATCGTGCAGAACTTTAAAGGAATAACATTTCATTTGACATAACGGTGGGGAATTTGTCGTTGTATGCATACTGAAAAAACTTACCACAACAGAAATAATTATATGAAAAAGATTTATTTCCTTCAATATTTAAATCAGCGGCTTTTAGCAGTCAAATTTCGCCAATGACAGTTCACAGTATTGTTCAGATAGTTGGTTTGCTTTTGAAACATTTCTACATCACCTGTCTGTGAAGAAGTCTTGACATTTTTTGCAAAAATGTCTTTGGGTCTCAATATCTTTCCAAGGAAGTCTCAAAGAAAAACAGAGTCCTGAAAGTATTTTCAGGAAAATCGCTGGATTTTTTTGTCTTTGTAATCATTGGCTTGAGAGATTTGATGTGACAAAACATTATGTATTTAGGTGAGTCACTTGCATTGTGCTTTCAAGTCTTGCTAGTAATTCTAGTGTTATTGCACCTAGCCAATGTCAACACTTGGCTAGTGAAAACAAATTTTGGCCGCTAACATCTAAGTTGTCACTAGGCAGTAGGCTAGTAAGTTGAAAAGTTAGTGTCAAGCCCTGGATCAGTCTGATTAATGCCCAGATTAACCTGTTAACGCTTAACACTTGATAATGGAAATAAAGGTGAAAGTCTCTGGTTAATTAGACTGAATATCACTCAGGTTGGCCTGAATAATGCTTATAGCAGATAGACAGATAGACAGATAGACAGACAGACAGACAGACAGACAGACAGACAGACAGATAGATAGATAGATAGATAGATAGACAGATAGATAGATAGATAGATGGACACCTTTATTTAAAAGTAAAAATCTTAAGGTAAAAACTTCAGGGTAGTCCCTTTAGGGAGTTTACAAAGCATCTCTGCTATCAATAGCAGCCCTGGCCTGAAGCTATTACCTAACATAGATTACACAATAATAGGATGGTTCCAAATAATGGAAATGGTAACATGATCTAAACTTAAAACGTCTGCAGTCTGTATGTTACCCTCAGTCTGCATTTTATCCCTATGAAAGAGCAAACTGCCAATCAAAATGTGTTAATGTCATTTTGCAAAGTTGTGCATCACAAGAGATCATCCAGTTTGACAGTTATTAAGGTAAATTTGTCCCCTGAATGCCAGGCATTGCTTTTGGAGCAGTCTATTTATCCCATTCAATACCTGGAACTGATGGAATGTAGTATTAACAGCTATGGAGTGGACAGGCTAGCAAGGTAATTAATTTCATTGATCTCATACAGAACTAGTGTACAGTTATGATCCAGTATGGGGAGTGCTCTATTTTGTTCTGGTAAACATGATATATGTTTCATTTTTGAGTTAGTTTTTTTGTAAAAAAAATACTGTACCTCTTAGTCAATGGGTCTGGGCTATGTCATGAATGGATGAGAGGATGAATGAGTGAGAGATGTATGTATGTCACCAATCAGATTGGAGTCACCATCAACAACTAATCAAATTGCCACTTGTAAAGGTGAATCATACATGTGAAGATTTCGTCTCGATTTTAGAATGGCCATCGTTGTTTGTCTGCAAACAGAAACAGGTATTCTTGTATTGGCCTTATTCTGACATTTGTGATGCTTCATTTACTATGGTTGAGCCCAGGACTTTGTGGATGGATTTCAAAAGATTTCAGAATTTGATAATCAGCTAAGGAATCATTATAGTCTTCTGTCATCAAGGCTTTGCCCCAGGGGCTTTGCATTTTGAATTACATGAAATGTCAAATGAAATGAGTCTTAGCCACTCGGCAACTTGGTGAATTCTAGGACAGGAACGATTGTTTTTAGTGCAAACTGCACTATTGGGATGGTGAGGGGGCTTTCGTCCCTGATGGTATTCGCCAGGCTCCATCAATATCATTTGTGTTACGTGCAGTTCATGAAAAAAGAATTAAGTCCAAACCATTTAATGTGTTTGCTCAAAATTTATCAGTTTAATAATAAATAATAATACATAATATTTTAAGAGGAGGCCTCCAAGTTTGTGAGCTAATAAATATATCAAACACGAAAGACAGTGTTTGACCACATTTCCAAACACAGAGAAGAGAGGTGAAAATACAACGCATAGTGGAGTATTTTTTACGAACTTCAAGGTGTTTGGAAATGTGGTTAAACACTGTCTTAAGTTTTGATATAACTTCTCAATCGAAACTAAAACTAAGGAGAAAACGGACAATCTATGCTAATTAAGATCCGATATCCAAACACTGTCACGGTCATGATTTCCTTTGTTTAAACTTTAGTAACTATTAATGAGTGTGAAAAAACAAGTTTCAATTAAGAAGTGCTGTTCACAGAGTAATATTGTCTTCTCATTGAAACGTTCCTTGGAATTGATACTGAGATACTCATTTGAAATGGCTTTCTCTGTCAAAACCAAAGAAATTATGGACGGCTAGTTATGAATGAGAATCCTGCTGCATTTTGAAATTTGAAAAAAAAAAACTGATGAATCAGTGACTCTTGTTCACACAGTCAGAATAAAGAAACAAGAAGCCAATCTAGAGGCACGCCCAGAAACTTTAACATGATATAAATGGTTAGACGTCTCTTTTTTTAGTGTCTTCAGCTATATTTTAAGAGCAGCAAATAGTTTCTTGCAATAATGGTTTCGGAGAGATATTACTAGCAAATGTTTCAAAATAATGAAGTGTTTGCTTTTCTTGCAGTAATCGGTTTCATTACGCTTGGGTCAAAGGTCATGTTTTCAGGAAGAAGTGCTGCATTTAGTTCGCTAATTTGAAGAAGAAACAATGCTCTTTCAGACCAAACTAGTCATTTTGGGAAAAGCAGTGTACCAGAACACCTTTTTAGCATTTGAAATTGCGTTTTTTTAAATGTAACAATTTTTTATTTCTTTGTTGTTTACATTGACAATTACAGTTACAAGCATATTTACTAGATGCACTAACACTAAAAATATAAATAAATACATAAATGAGAAATACTATAATAGTTAAACACTACAATAGATAAATAAATACACAAAAAACAAAAAGACAAAATAAATAGATGAATAAAGTACAAGACACATGCTGAAAAAAACTTTAAATTGATGCTTAGTTAAGAAGAGGCGTTATTTTTTCCCATTTCTTGTAGTGCTTATGGAGCCTGTCATTTCTTTTGGCAATTTTTCTCTCTATGTGATAAACTAATTTGATCTTTTCAAAGAAAACTCTTAATATTGGTTTAGTTTTGTTCAATTTACATTTATAAATAAAATATTTAGGAATGAGTATTAAGTGATTCAAAATAGCAAAATCACCATTGTCATTAAATACGCCAAACAGAATATTAATTAGTGTTAATGTTTCCATGGATATGTTTTGTTTACTAATCCAAGATGAGAATGCAAGCCAAAAGTTTTTTGTTATATTACAATGAAAGAGTAAATGCTTGAGGGATTCATCTTCTTTCTGACAAAACGTGCACAAAGGCGATTCAATCATTTTAAAACGGAACAACTTATCATTGGTGTATACGATATCGTTCAGTATTTTACATTGGAACTCTCTGATTTTTGTCTCTACTGTGACGGTAAATGGTAAAGAATAGATTTTTTTCCGATCAAGCGCAAGTTGGGGATATTTGTTTTTCATCTTGTTTTGAGCAGGGAGAAGAGTTTGATTTTTAGTTTTAAATTTATTATACAGTACTTTTGATGTTACTTTGGACAAATGGATTTCAGTTTCATCCAATTCAGTATATACTCTATCTCCGAGGAATGATGAATAGAAATGTTGATTTGTTTGTGACTGTTTTATAATAAGTCTCCACGCAATAGGAATAGCATCCACAACACCTATTAGCTTAAAGTATTGAGTTGGGGATAAATTTGCTGTCAATACCTTCGAACTTTGAAGAAATTTGCCCGTGTTAGATAGGAAGTCCCCAATTTTAACAATTCCCTGACAAAACAGATTATTTGAAAAGCGATCGTTTGTCAACTACAATATTTTTGTTGTTCCAAATGATTTGGTCGATAACATCATTATACGAAGCGAAATTTGAATTCTTCAATTCTGACCATGCATCGAGACACTCTTTACAGCAAGCTGGAATAGAAGCTGGAAGTTTACGAATGTCGAAGTCACCAAAAAGAATGGATTTTCCTCCTACGTTGCAAAGAAATTCATCTCAAATAGCTTTCCAGGAGCTGTTACCATCAGCGAAATATTTCATTAAAGCCATGGCTCTTTTTGCTGATGTGTCAAGCATCTTAATGCCCCCATTTTCAATGTCGTTGATAAGTGCAGATCTTTTGATTTTATCATTACCTTTCCAAATAAAGCCATAAATCAAGTTATTTATCTCCTTAATAAGATCATTTGATACTGATATTAATGCTGCTTTACTAAAAAACTTTGGTATGATGAAAGTCTTCACTATTTGAATCTTTCCAAGTAAAGTAAGGCCTCTCCACTTCCACATATTAAGGGTCCTTTGAATGGACTTGAAAATTGATTCAAAATTGGCTTTGTTCCATGACGGTTTATGGTAGTCAAAAAAAGTACCTAATATCTTAACTGATGTTCATACGTTATGGATAAAGTCTTGTTGCGCAAGTTTAAAAGAACCAATTGTGAAGATTTCAGTTTTGTCGTTGTTGATCCAGAGGCCAGAATATTTATAGAAGTCTTCTAACAATCCACATAAGTGTAAATACCAATTCATATCCTTTAAAAAACAGGTCATGTCATCGGCAAATAATGTTAATTTAATTTCCTTGTTTTTGACCATCACACCATGATTGTTATCATCTTGTCTGATTTGGGTTGCTAATATTTCAATAGCTAAGATAAATAATAAAGGTGATAACGGGTCACCTTGCCGTACACCACGCCACACTTGAAAGAGATCAGTGGTAAATCCATTGTTCAAAATGCAACTTAATATGTTTGTATGAAAGGTCTTAATCCATTGTAAAAAATATGTCCCAAAGTTAAGTTTCTCCAACACCTTTAACAGATACGTGTGATCTAGAGAATCAAAGGCTTTTTCAAAGTCTATCGCTTCAAGTATACCAGATTTGTTTGTTATTTGTGCCAATTCAAGGAGATCATCGATTGTTCTAACTGCATCAAAAACTGATCTTCCTTGGACAAATCCATTTTGATTGTGATGAACAAGTTCTGGAAGGATTTTTTCTAATCTTCTAGCAGTTGCCTTAGATGCAATTTTAACGTCAACATTCATTAAAGAAATAGGTCGCCAATTTTTAATGAATCTTCTATCTTTATCTTTCTTTTCTAAAAAGTAATCATTAGTTGTTTTTGGGAGGTAGATAGCTGCCCATGTTCGCGAGCGAAATTTAGGGAATCTTCAAGGTATTTCCCTAAAAAGGGTGAGAACGCTAAATAAAATTCCACAGTTAACCCATCATTTCCCTTTGTTTTGTTTCTTTGAAACGTTTTTGATGCTTGGTAAAGTTCGGATCTAGTGAGCTTTTTATCTGAAACTTGTTTCTGGTCATTGGATAGTTTCTTAGTATTCGTTTTGTCAAGGAATCGAGTGATTGAGTTCTCACCCAAATTATAGGAGTCTATCATAAAGTTTTGAATAAAAATTATGAATCTTAGTCATTATTTGCTTTGGCTGTGTCATTTCTTTATCATTATTCATAGATAATTTCCTTATTGAACTCTTTTTCTTTTTTGCGTTTTCTAAGTTTAAAAAATACTTATTACTTTTCTCCCCCTGTTCGTACCAGTTAACTCTGGATCTTATAATTATTCACTGGGTAATATAATCATAATTTAGCAATCATATTCTGTTTGAATTATTTCCAAGTCATTAAGATTTTCAGGTGTTGGACCCTCGTCGCATTTTAGTTGACACTCTTTAAGTCTTTCTTCTAAACTGACCAGCACCGATCTCCGTTCTATAACTTTCTTTTTCTATAAACAATTGTTTCATAGCATATTTTATATTTCAGGAAATCCCAAAGAACTCTCGCATCCTGTATTTCTCTATCTTCCTCTATCCATTCCCGACTTTTTTCGTTTATCTTATTCACATATTCTTCCTCTCCTATAAACTTGCATTAAATTTCCAAAAGGAAGGTCCCTAAGTCATGTTTTCTATGCCGTTGATATGTAGCATAATGGCAGAGTGATCAGACTTAATGGCAGGAATAATGTTGACCTTCTCTACCTCTTCTTGAATGCTATTAGTTATTAGCCAGTAATCTAGGTGGCGTTGAATTG